GATCTGATCAGAATCGAAATCGCCTAGGGATCGCTTTTGCGTTGAAGGAATCGCTGGAGAGAGAAAGGACAATGTTTCGCTTGAGCGGTGAAAACGGAAGTCACGGCGTGAGATTTCTCGAGGGCAACGGTTGGTATTTAAAGCGATAGAATAACGGTCGAAAAATAGCAGAGTGCGAAACTTGCTCGGAGTCGGTACACGGCAAATCCGGAACATTATCAAATATCCCGGACTTGGGGGGCATGTGTTAACAACCAAATTTGGTAATATCAGCATCGGAAGAGGAGACTAGATCCAGGTGGAGTCGAAGGCGGAGATTGATTCGAGAACAGAGCAAGAATCGGCAGAAGTCCAGATCGGCTACGATTAGGATCGGCTGGGTCTAGGTCGGACTAGGTAAGCCGATGCAGCCGATTCCGACAGTATAATTTGGTGTATGACATCGGGTTGAATTGAGGTGCTTCAAGATGATTGCCGCACATGGATAGAGTCCTGAGAAGGCAATTGTATCTATTAATTAGGATGTTTTATGTAACTTCCTTAGAGATATGTTTGGGTAAAAGTCTGCCGCAAAGATTTATGGTATCTTAGAGAGTTTGTTAGAGATAGTGGTCGTGTCCGGTATGGACATATCTTGTAATTCTCGGGTATAAATAGACCCCGAGCCCTATGTAATTTTTAACACACACGTTCAATACAATTTCGGCGCATCGCCACCCTTTCGCTTTAGTTTTGTTTCAACGAGTTCTTGCTTGCGGGTTGAGCTGCATCAGTTTCGATCTTCAACAAGAGGTAAAACTTGTTATGACGACTTGTGTTCTCAAGATTAGTGCTTCCATCTTTATGACACTCTAATCTTGCCTATATAATTCGTCGAGTTATCATATATCTTACATAATCTTTGGCAATATCGTCATCTAACCTACAATCGGCTAACATCTATTAATAGAAGGCAGCCGATTAGGTTAAATAGCGACGTTGTCCTAGATTATATAAGATATTTACCACTTTATGAAACATCCAGCGGCTTGATTGTCTAGATATTGTTCTTCTTTTCATACTTAATGATGCATCAGTTGAGTTTGATCTATTAAGTCGTGCTTAGAATATCAATCTCTAGCCTATCCTCTGGTTGCTGATTAGGGTAGTATCGGAGTTTCAGCCAATCATATCTGATTTAACCATATTCGATCTATGTGCCTCAGTGACATGTTAAATCCGCCCTTTATGTCAAGATCTTAGTGCATTTAAGTATATTAAGCCTTTGTTTGGTATATTATACTTGTCTTGATATGTTTGTATAGAGTAGTATCGGAGTATTAGCCGATACATGCTAGATCTATCTAATCGGCTATGCTATAAACATATATAATCCTGTTATTAATATATATTTCGGTCTAAGTGATTTATACTGTCTCGGCATGGTGACCGATCTATCCCAATTACTTGATTTAAGTATATATTAATATAAGAACTATATATCGTTAATATCTACGGCCGATCGAATAGATTTAGTTCCTTACTGTCTATTTATAACCGCCGATCGATTCATATATGACATCGGCTCAAAGATAAATGATATGTCATCGGCACCTAGCCGATCGGCTATCATTTATAGATTTAACCACGAATTCTTTGTCTCTATTTCTTGTTGATTACAGGATCAAATCAACTGGCATGCTCATACATTCGAAGGCGAGCTTTGGACCTGCACTGGAGTTAAGCAGATCTCCGAGGCCTCGTGTTTTTTGTCAACAACTATATAAATGTGCTTCTGTCAATTTTTGCAGCGGGCATGGCTAGCAAAGGCCTGAGGCTAGCCAAATTATAAATTTTTTTTTGGTTCCAAACTCATCCTTGACGGGCATTTTAGTAATGCCCAAAAGAGATATGTCATCCGTGACGGGCTGTAGGGTCAAGCCCGTTAGAGATAAGTCATCCGAACCGGGACTAGTTTGACTCCACACGTGGGGTCAAACCTATTGGTGACGGGCTTTATCTAAATGCCCGATTGAGATGACAGCTCATCCGTGACGGGTTTAGTTGTGTGCCCGATTGAGATTAGTCATCCGTGACGGGCTCCTAACTACGCTGGTTTGACTGGTCATACTCATCTGTGACGGGCTTTGTTTTCGGCCCGATTGAGATAACATCCATCCGTGACGAGCTTTTGCCGGATTGAGATATTTTCTCACATCAGTGACCTTTGCCCAGTAACGGGGACCTTACCCGATAGTGATGAGGCTTTCAGCCCGTCACAGATAAGCAATCCCGTTCTAGTGTGTGTAAGTGGGTGCTGCTTAATTTGGAAATTTATGTGCTAACAAACTTCAATAAAAAAAACTATTTTCGACTTTTAATTAACAACTCACATGCAGTGCTATGTATCTTTTATTGTTACTTTTTATTTCTCTCAAGGGATCGAAGACTTTCTCTATATTAATTAGTAGAAACAGATATGGGCTAGGAAAAAAGAATATACTACTGAATGAGATCAGGTATGAGAACATATATGGTAGAACCCAACCCGGCCAATGGAGATCATTCAATCGGGCATCTTCCACAAAGTCAAGTGAGAAAAAGTGGTGTAAGATGTTCTCTTTTTTTTCAGATTATATAGAAGATGCATGGACATATACTTCCATGAGTGCGTTCCTTTTATTCACACTTGGAGGAATCATGTGGCAAATCCATGACCTCACTAAAGTGCCATACTTTCACCGCTTTAGGAGGAGAAAATAAGAAGACAACAAAGATATAGTTAATAGGAGAACATAAATCAGAAGAGGTATTTTTTTTCTTATCAATCCTAATTAACTTCCAGGTTCCAGTTGAATGTTTGCCATTATACAAACATTAATATAGGCCACCTTTATAACACATAGTGACAAGGCTGAGCCAAACAATATTGTGTTCCAGGAGTGAAAAATAATGGTATAGCAACCTATAACTTAGAAAATTCATAATTTTTTCATACTAATACGGATGAAGAAAAAAAATCAATGCTGTAGCTCTCTATGCACGAGAGATGTACAACTTTCATATAGGTGAAACCTTTTCCATTTTATTTAGATGCCCAAATATTCGTCAATAAGTTTTGGAAAAGAAGGGTCAAATTAAAGCATCTATCTTATTGGTGAGATGGTAAAGAGCCTTTGCATGACAGATAGAGGTCGCCTGTTTTACTCCATTTGTCCGCATGCACACATATATATTTGTATGAAAAACCATGTCATACTACTTGGCCTTATATTTTGGGGGTTGCAAAATTCAAACGTAATTAAGATCCTACTATCAAAATGGCCAGTTTCTATATAACTCCTTTTATACTCCCCAAATATCTTTGCCACTTAATTTGTTACCACTAGTTAAAAAACTGTCGCTGGTGCCAATTATGAACCGGCAATGATAGTGTTTTCTATAGTATCGATTATAAGAATTTCTCTATAATTTCATGGTAGAAAGTCCAACTGCAAACTGCTGGATCAACTGAGTAGCCAATACTCTTTACCATTGATAAATGGGAACATATCCTATGCACACAAACTTCCCGTACACACTCCATACATACCAACTAGCAAATATCGCAGAAAATTCTAAAACAAATATGACACATACTTCCAATAGTATTACAACTACATGTGAAATCTTATCTTTAAATTCATTATATTTTAGCCGTAGCAAAAAAGACAAAATTCTGACAGTTTTTTACCCTTAAAACTGTAAGATTTTTAACTTTTTTGTTACGGCTACAATATAATGAATTTCAATACGAGACTTTGTAGATATGTGTAGTACTATTAGGAGTAAATGTCAATTTTTTTATAAAATTTTTTATGACATTGTTAGTTGGTGTGCACGAAGTGTGCACGGTAAGCTCGTGTGCATAGGATATATTGCCCCGATAGATAGCCTTAATTACAAGTTGTTATAATTCCATCAACTAACTCGATTGATCGCTACCACCGGTTAGATAACATTATGATCAGTTATAATGGAGCCAGATTGTTCTTATGGAAATTGAACTAGAGCTTAGTTGAATATGTATTACAAATTATTTTAACTTGTCAAACATGAAATTCATTCAATATCATATCAGAAACTAGTTTCCGGCCAATAATTTCTTTCCAAGTAATTTCATAACTAAAGGTGAACGGAACAGAAGTTAGCTAGATTTATTTCCCAAGTTTTAGTGGCTGTGTGCTATTAAAAAGGAACCAATTTTTAGTTGGATATTGTGCATGATACATGTATGCTCTCTCATGGCACAAATATATATACATGCATGCACAATAATATTTCTCTATCATCTTATCTTATGTTCCACTATTATATTGTGTGTGATGTATGCATGGAAGAATTAATTAAGGACCCTGTTTTCTTTAGACATTTATTTTGGTGTGCCAACATGGTTATCGATCTTTAGCGAAAGTATATATAGAGGATACGTGGAACTTTGAATTAGGGATTTTTCTTGTAACCTAGTCAATTTGGACAAAATCTGAAAGACTAGCACTTGAATCCAAATAATTATCCTATGTATCCCAGCACCATTAATTGTGCTTCCTGATCAGAGCTACTGCATGCGGGATTCAATTTTGGCAAAAGAAATATTAGCTGGTTTAAAGAATATAAAGAGTGATAAAGCATCTAAGGAACCTCTTGATTCTTGAACAAATATATGTTTGAATCATACATTTCCATGATCAACCTTCTTATCTTCATGCAGATCAACCTTCTTATTCAGCAAGCTAATGTATATGCATGCAATCAAGTTTTCTGAATGGGCCATCGATCACTAATTATATATATATATATATATATATATATATATATATATATATATATATATTACCGAATTGCATGCCTAAATATATAGGTTATATGCAAGCACATATATATATATATATATATATATATATATATATATATATGTATGTATGGTCTAATAATGCATATATATATATATATATATGTGATGCATGATGATCAGTCATATATAGTCAGTGGTATATACGCACTGTAATTATCTATCTGAACCATTGTCCAAGCTCAAGCCTACTAGGATCGACATAGGTGGATGGCGGTGCGACAGCTTCCTGATCAGGTTCTTTGGCGAAGCGACCTCTCACTCGGGGCCTCATCTCGGCATAGGCTTTTCTGGACGCGTACCGGATTTGCTTCTCGTAGCACCTCTTCTTCCTCTTCTCCTTGTACCTCATCAGCTTGGCCTCCCTCTCCACCATTGCGCCAACCACCGTGTTTGGGTTCAAGCTCTCCCCATCATCGGCCATGGCGGCCACCATCTCCTTGGGCATCGAGCTCGCTGCGTCAGTGAACGTGCTCCCACAATATGACATCTGCAAAACTAGTTAGTTAATAGATGTACAATTAAGAAGCTCGAATACAATTAATCATCGTATGTACAAAACATAGAAGTTACAATCCAGATGTACGCATAAGCAAATGCAGTTAGTTGTAACCTCCCTTGATTTATATGGGCATATTTTGTTTCAGAGTCTACTTTCAAATAAGAATGTATATATGGACATGATTTTGTGCCCCAATATATTTTGCCCTAGGGGCCTGGGTCCATTAATTTTATAAGGCATATTTTAATTTCAAAAAGACAAATTTGCAGATTTTTTACTAGCATTAATCAAATTAATTACAATGATGCGTATTCACATTTCATCCTACACGTTTTATTCATTTATTACATACGCATATAGCTGGAAAGCTAGAAGAGCATACATCGATCGGCCACCATTAATTAACTGTGTCAGATAATTGAACCACATAAAATGTGACGATCGATGCATTTACAAATTAGTCTGAAATTGTGTAAGGGCACACTCTGTGAGTCCGTGACTTTGTTAACACTGAATTATAACAACTTGTAATTAAGGGTTAAAAAGGCATATACACATACTATTTCCTACTATACTTTTTTTTTTGAAAACCTATTTCCTACTATACTAAAGTTTCATTTACACATAGATTGATTTAGAATCCGAAACCCATGGATATGTCTCCCTTTTAACTTCTACGGCAATCAAGTTGTTTTTATAGTTTGAATGTGCAGTACGTGTGTTTGAATCACACATGTATATGCATCTCCTTGCAGTTCTAAAGAAATATATATATACATTTGCTTGCTCGTATTACTTCTCAACAAACTGTAAGTAAATAGACCGAGAAGCACAATATCTCCTTACAGTTCTATTTTTATTTTGGTTTTAGCAAGATCTGCATATGTATAACTGATGGTATATATGCTGAATATAGCAAACTACAACATCAAAATTCATCTTTTTTTTTCCATTTTCCTCTACTGATATGTAGAAGAAAGCGCCAGAAAGCAAGCAATGATGTTTCCTGACATATAAGTAGATTACACCATCAATATTTAACATACGCTTATATATGGGGAAATAAGTATTTCTAGATTATAAAATTAGCCTCTGACTTGTTTTTACAATCTAAAATATAGCTACCGAACTCGAAAAGCACACGCGACTATCTAAAAGTATATATACTGACTTAACCGTACATATACGTATGTGGAATCGTACAGTATAGACAGAGGCTGGATCCGTATGCATATGCAATGAAATATATCATCGAATTAATTAAGTCGCCATCGAAAGATGCAAATCACATCCCACACACGGCCCTCACATATATAGCTAGAAACAATACTATAAACCAGCTGCTGCAAGCCAGTAATTAATTAATTAAGCTCCAAATTAATTCAAACTTGGTATATATTGATCGATTATTTGACCTTTGATAGTTTGAAGTTGTACGGCATATAGGCAGCAGAAATGAAGAGTTGTTTTTGACTAAATAACAAAAACAAAGAAGCCAAGAAAAGACGAGGAGGATCGATGAATCAATCAAGAATTCATCAATTAATAATATATAAGATGGAAATTAATAATCGACACGGCTCAATCGAGCCGATCATGCCGGCCGGATCAGGATTATTGGATTGATACTCACGATGGTGGCGCTGGCCGCGGCCTCGGCGTGCCGGCCGCCGCCGCCGCCGAGGCCGAGCCCGGCGTCCAGGTCGGGCCGTTCGCCGAGGGAGACGTCGAACGTGAGCCCGCCGGCGCCGGTGTTCCTCCTGAACAGCGACGGCGGCGCCACGACGCCGTCGTACGGCGGCTGCCGATGATGCATCCCGGCGGCGGCAGCAACGGGCGACGGCGGCGGGTAGTCATCGAACAGCCAGGCCACGCTCTCGCCGTCGTCGCCGCCGCCGTCGTTGCCGAAGAACTGGAACTCGTGCACCGGTGGCGCCGGGGCGCCGATCCCCTGGCACGCACTCGGCGGGAAGACGAAGGGGAATCCATCATCATCGTGGCGATGGCGGGAGCAACAGCCGCCACCGTCGGCGCCGCACAGGCCACATCCTTCTCCGGCTGCTGGTCCCATCGACATGAACGGATAAATCAAACTCGATCGAGCTACAAACAACAACTAGCTAGAGCTAGCTAGTAAGTTAGCTATAGCAGGTGAGGTCACTTGAGCTCGATCAGCTCAGCTAGCTAGGGTTGTGAAATGCTTGTGATCACTGATCGATCAGCGAGATCGATGACTTGTAATAATATAGGTACAAGAAGAAGAAGAAGAAGAAGACAGGGCAAGTTGGGGATGAGGGAAAGGTAGGGGGGCCATTGCGAGATCATATTATGATCGATCGAGGAGAGCGGGGCGATCTGTGGATGGATTTGGTCCTTACGTGGAGGAATCCGGCCGCCTTTTTTCACCTGATAATTTGGCGACTCCTCATTGGCCATCCCCATTGCAACCAGATCCCCCCAAGGATCTTCTGCGCTGGCTGGACTTCACTACCCATGCCCCCCTCTAGCTCCTATTATATTATATCCCCCCAAGACTAGGAAAATGTCCATGAATTAGATGGATATATCAGGGCAATCTCAATGTATATGGGTCTAGTGTGATCTTAGAAGTGGCCCATGAATAGTTTGATTGTTGTTAAAGCAATTCCCATAATGCTATTGCTGAAACGGATTTGCTAGTTTTCTATCGACAGAAAACGGGGGTAAATTCTTTCGAATTTTTGACCGTCAGATTCATCTCAAGATTCGTGCTGGCGCGTTCATGGAAAAAAATCCCGTGTGAGAAACATAATTTGTGCGCTGCATGGGGTTCGAACCCAGGACCTCGATCCCACCAGCTTGCAAGTTTTTTAAAAAATTAGCAAGTTACATGTTACTTATACTCCAGTTATACCCTAGTTACAGTAACTACATTATTATCTCTATCAAATTAGATATAAAGTTGCATATATTATTTTAATACATCTATACAAGTTATATAATTATTATAGTGTAGTTCTAGTAAAATTATGTACTATAGTTAGATTTGAAAGTTTTTTACTCAAAAAACCTGCAACAGTTTTTTAGCTAATCCCTTGCTGAAATTTAACAATAATATGGGGCCCTTATGAGATAGAAAAACCTGCTTTTCAGCTCTTGTTCATGACATAAATGAGAGAGAGAATATTTTCTTTATGCTTGTGGTAGACCTTAAGTATAAGATGCACTCTAAGCTAAAGCTATTTCTCACAATGTATGTGTTCCACTTTATAAATGTAATCATTGCCATAAGGTTACCTTTCGATATACCGTGGTTGCTCTCATACATATGACTGATAATAGATTGAGGGTGTGGCGCGGTCTTCGGCGCACGAAGGCTAGCCGGCGGGGACGGGGTGCAGTGGTCCCACACATCGGCAGAGGTTGAGCTGTGGTGGAGCATCGGTGCGTCAGCCGTGGATTTGCAGGTGATGAGCGGTGGGTGAAAACCCAGCTTGGTCTTGACTGGACCGACAACGATGGTTCATTCCCCCTCCTGAGGGCGTTGTCGTGCCGTCTCATCCCTCAAAGGTGTTTGCCAGGCGAAAGCCCAATCTTGGCTCTTTTGAGTCCCTGACGGATGGTGGCGACGGTTTTCCGTCGCTTCTCTCGTTGGAGACGTCGTTTAGGCATCCCCTTGCCGAAACCACTCGAACGATTGGTGCAAGCACAATCTAGATGGAGTTGGGCTTTGTGTTGGTTGTAAGGGCGTTTTTTGGGCGTTCTCTTCTGTGTTCCTTTGTTGGCCTAGTGGCGGTTGGTCACGCTTAGTGACGGCCTGTCCGGTGCTAGCCTTCTCCCGGACCCATGTGTTGGCGCTGTCGGTGTGTGGGTGGTGGTATATTTTTTCCTTTTTCTTGGTTAATCTTGTAATTTTTTTCTGCTCTATCAATAAAACTTCGCACCGTCTTGTGCGAGTCGTTCAAAAAAACAAATTTTGCTCCACCGGCAAGCACAAATCTCCCCCAAAATTTTTCTAATTTTTTTAAATATTTGTAAATTTGGTCAAAAATATGTTAAAACTTAAAATATTTCCGGTTAGAAAACATCGAAATTCATGAAATTTTCAAAATTTTGGCAACAACAGAAATTTTAGTGTCTATTGAAATTGCAAAGCCGGATGGTTTCATGAGTTTACTAAAGGGAAAATATTGTTTTCTACTCCCTCCATTTCAGTTATAAGACGTTTTGACTTTAGTCAAAGTCAAACACTACTACAATAAAGATTTTTGCGTGCGGTCGAAAATAATTTTTCTGCGCGGATGGTCGGCCCGCTCGCACCCAGGGGTCTGGGAAAATCGTGATTTTCACATGCAGGTGCCTCACCCGCACGCGAAAATCGGATTTTCGCGTGCGGGCGCTTAAGCTGCCCGCACGAGATAATAAAATATCGAAACAAAAAAAATAAAAACAAAACCCTAATCCTAATCCTCCGCTGCCCTAGCCGAGGCCCGCCACCGTTGCCCCCGCGGTCGCCGGCTACAGATCTACCACCCGCTCCCGTCGCTGGTGTCGGATCCATAGTCGCCAGCTGAAGACGCTCCTCCCCTCCGCTAGATCTGCAAGGGGAGGGGAGGGGAGGGGAGGGGCATCAACTCACATCGATCGCTGATGCCACTGTCGCACCTCCTGCCGATAGTCACACCTCCACACCAGCCGCTGACACTGCCACACCTCCAGATCCGGCGCGGGCCGCCTCTGTCCCACCACCTAACACCGCCGAGGGACGCAGGCCGACTCTGTCCAACTGCCTCCCGCCACCGAGGGGCGCGGGCTGCCTCCTTCCCGCCACCGCACGTCGCCTCTCGCAGCTCTGCCGGATCCACCAGGCCCCCATGCTTCCCCTCCACCGGATATGCAAGGGCAGGGAGGGGAGGGGCCGCACGCCGCCGTGGTCGCCCGCCGCCACCGCTGTCACTGCCCCTCTTCCCACCCACAGCAGAGGGAGAGGGAGGGAGGGGCCAAGCGCTGCCGCTATATCACCCACCGCTGCCTGCTGTCTCCGCTGAGTGGGAGGAGAGGAGTGGAGTGGGAGAGAGGGAGAGAGTGAGGTGGGAGAGAGGGAGGTAGTGGGGCAGTGGGCGGAGGGGCGAGGGGCGCGAAAGGATATCGAGCGCTCGATGTAGGGTGGACTATTTTCGTGTAGGGTGGACTATATAGTGACCCGCACACGAAAATTGATTTTCCTATGCGGGCGATGGTCTGGCGCATGTACCCCCCCCCCCCCCGCCCCATTTCCTTTGCAGTTCCATTTACAGTCCGCCTAGAAATAAAAGGGTCCGGTATCCAAGAAAATCTTTCCTGTAGTAGTGAAACTGCTTTAAATTTGACCAAGTTTATAAAAAAAGTAGTAACATTTTCAACCCAAGATAAACTTATTATAAAAATATATTTAATTATTGATTTGATAAAACTAATTTAGTATTATAAATATTACTATATTTGTCTATAAACTTAGTCAATCTTGAAACAATATGACTTTGATCAAAGTCAAAACGTCTTATAATCTGAAACGGAGGAAGTAGATAGATAAGATACTTGAATTGATCATGTGCGCACGTTATATGCAAAATCAAGGCTTAATAATTAAGATCATTGATCCGATTTCATGAGTGCATACATACTAATTATTTAGAGTTTACTATGTACAAAGTCGATTCCACTTATCTGAAAATAAATCTACCTCGCTATAAAGGTTACGTAAACATATCGCAGTCATATTAGTATACCGTGGTTTGAGAACCCACAAAAGATATCTACATGTCATATCACACATATAAATCTGTATTACTCCCTTCGTCACATAATATAAAGGATTTTAAAAGTATATGGCACATCATAGTTTGACGAATCTAGATAAGGAGCCTGTCTAGACCTCCCTAAAAAATCCCTTATATTATAGGACAGAGGGAGTACACAGTTGGTAATTGTACACGTATATTATTGGTCACGTCGCCATTATGATCGATAGTATACTTACTCCCTCCGTTCCAAAAAGAAATAATCTAGGATATGACGTGGCCTATCATAGAACAACGAATCTAGATATCTAGATTCCTGTCTTAGGTGGTGTTTGGATCTAAGGACTAAATTTTAGTCTTTGTCACTTCGGATGTTTGGACACTAGTTAGAACTATTGAACGTAGAATAATAATAAAACTAATTGATTAAATAAGAGCTAATTCGCGAGACAAATTTTTTAAGCCTAATTAATCTATGATTAGAACATGTTTACTATAGCATCACATATGTTAATTATGGATTAATTAGGCTTAATAGATTTATCTCGCAAATTAGTCCAAGGTTATGGAATGGGTTTTGGCATTAGTCTACGTTTAGTACTTCTAATTAGTGTCAAACATTCGATGTGATAGGGATTAAAATTTAGTCCCTAAACCAAACAGGGCATTCCTATCTTAGGATAGATCATATCCTATCCCAAATAGACTTTTTGGGGACGCATAGATTGTTGAAATTATAAGCACATAATGATTTAATTTCTATAAATAAATCATGACATTGCATATGTAAACTAGATTGAACGCATCATTAGATCTATACATCTAAACTAAGCAGTAAAACATGAACAGATCAAATATGCGCAACATGTCGAACACGTACCGAGGTGGCGGAAAAACCGATTGCTCGGCAGGAACTACTCGCGGTTGTGGGTGTCGACGACGGCGCGCAGCACGCGAGCGAAGAGGAAGACGAGCCGTCGCGGACGAACAGGGAGCAGTCGCGCCAAGCGCTTCCCAAAAACCTTATTGCCGCCTTTTCTCGGTGCAGGACGTCGAAGGCAGAGGTTTCGGAGACCTGCTCTCCCGATTGCAGGTGCACGCCTGCGAGCGGGATGGAGTAGTCTACGAGCAACGGCGCAGAACAGAGGAGGAGGCAAACCCTAGATTGATTTCGTGTGTGTTGCGTGAAGGCGGCGGCTCGGTTTATATAGAGATAGGTCGCTTGATCAGGGCGCCCGCACGATCTCCACTCCGCGTAACCGAACCGGATAAGTCGCGCGTAACTTATCCGGACTTCACGCCGTTTTCACGCACCGGATTTTTCGGAATGTTTCCAAAACAAAACAAATCCGAATTTTCCTGTAGCAAAACAAAACTGCAAAAGGAAGCTGCATCTGCGCAAGGGTGAGGAGCCAATTTTGCGGATCATTCGACGTGTACGTCGTGCACGCGCGCCGCCAGCCCTGCCCTGCTAGGCCAGGCGAGGCGAGTGAGCGCGCGCGCGTGTTTTCCCCCTTCTCTCCACCACACATGCTTCAAGTGGCTAGGAGGGCATCTCCCTTTTAAGGAGGTCCCCCTCTCCTAGAATAAGTAAGGTGGTACTAAACTTCACATGCATGCCATCCCATGTGGTGGGCTTTTGTGATTTTCCAAAGAGTTAATCTTCGAATGGGCCTTAGCCCATTTAT